ATGTTTATAAAAAAAAAACACATTTGAAATAATATTTTAATATTTAATCAGTTTTTAATACACAACTTTTTATTAAAAATGATATATGAATAATACAAACTATTATTCAAATACAAAATGTCCACAGTGCCTCGTTTTTAAAAACGAGTAAGGTATTTTATATTAAGTAAATAAAAAACGTCATCAATCTGAATGCTAATTGGTTAAAATAAATATAGAAATACCGGTTCAAACTAGTTAAAAGCAAGCACAATACTTTTTGTGAGAGATATTAAATCTTTGTCAATATCTTTATTGATAAAATCAATGTCCATTATACCGCATTTGAGTTTATATAAACAAACGCTAAACAGCGCGGAGACTTTAAAGGGATTAATTTTGACATATGAATAAAACCATTGTTAAAGTATTCGTCCTAAATAAACAAGACGGCAAACATCGCGGCGACTTTTAAAGGGATTAATTTTGACAGTTAAATGAACCTATTGTTAAAGTTTCCGTCCTTAAACAAACACAAGCCAAATAATGTAAATAAGTTAGGCTTGGCACTTGAATAGACCATTGTTAAAATATTCGTCCCTAAATAAACACAAGCCAAACAGCGTGGCAACTTTAAAGGGATTAATTTTAACAGTTGAATGGACCATTGTCCGCACATCTGCTCTTAAATCAACATACGCCAGACATTGTTGACATTCTGAATGGATTAATTTTGACACCTGAATAGCCTTTTGTCCGTTTTGAAATTAGCTAATGAGGTCACTAAAACCGGTCATGCATATTAAGGAATGCAAAAAACTTGAGTCATTTAGTTGCGGAACGCCGAAAAGTCAACATCGTATGTATGTATTTTACGTAAATATTTATTAAATTATTTTACAGTAAAAGTCCTTATTATTATCTTATATAGAAACATTATTTGACTGACTCATAATATCGAATTAAATTGAAAATTAATTTCATATATTTTGTTATATGTTAAAAAACTTTATGAAGAAACACATTTAAATTAATTAATTGTCTTATTCATTGTATTATAAAGAATCAATTAGTCAGTCAGTTTTCAATTATATCTTATTACTAACGCATTTTCTTTTATTTGGAATGTTTATAGAAAAACACATTTGAAATAATATATTAATATTGAATTAAGTTTTTTAATACTATTTTTATTAATAATGTTATATAAATAATACAGACTATTATTTAAATACAAAATGTCCTAATTAAAAGGTAAGTCATTTTATTCATATTTTTTATGGATACATGTGTATAATTTTCATTTGAAATGTTATCTCTCCCGTCTAGGGCCGAGGACCTGACTTCAATGTCCGCGATTCAAGCCCTAAATCGTGTATACGAGTCAGCTCCGTATACTTCCGGGAGATTAAAAATGAATTTCTAAATATAGAACGATGATGTCATTCTAAAAAAAGAATCCAATATGGCGCCGCGCATGCGCAGTCGTGACGTTAAAGAGGCCCCTATACTACTCATATCAACGGACCGCGTCGTTAAAAGGTCTTTTGGATACATTATATAAAAGATAAATTTAAAGAATAATTAACTTGTTGGTTTGTAAATAAAACACATGCATACAACATGACTTACAGTCGAGGATCGGGAAAAAGACAGAATAGTTGTAGTAATTCAGGGCTTAAATTTTTTAAGGCATGGCTTCAGACATACTTTAAATTATCAGCAGAATATATGAAAATCTATATCATTTGAAAATGTCATGTTGCCTTTTTAATACTTTTTTCCGGTCTTATTCATTAATTTAAATAAATAAAATTGAAAAATTATAAAATTCGGCGGCACTTTCTTTGCCAGTGACCGTTTATGTTTAGGGGTTTGTTTCTTCTGGTAATATAGAATTGAATAGCCCCATTCATTATGTGGTATATTTAAGAGCTGACGCAGATAAAATAAATAATGAATAATTTTTCGGACAAATATGTACACAATTTGTCAATTGTACGATAGAATTTGAATATAATATAGATAATCATACGGTATTTATCAATTGCAAAATGACATTATCAATGAATCGCATGTGTAGCTATACCAAACGTTTGAGTTATTGCCTAAGTACCGGAGCTCCAGATCTTCACTAATTAGTTGATATAAAGGGCTAAATAAAATATTTGAAGAAAGAAAATTCTTTTTTAATAAAACCAGTCTAAACCCGTTTCCATTGTGCGAGTTTACAACGGTTTTCCCGCAGAACATAATTATTTCAAGCTAGTGAGATTTATCGATAGACTACCTTTACAAGTTAAACAAAAAAACGTTGACATGTGTAGTGTTTATAAGCGTTATCGTTAATAACATTAACTTTCTGATCATTTTTTTTTTCTTAAATTGATTCTATTTTGAATACACTTTGCAGATACGTAATTTTTATTTCAAGAAAAAATGAGTTTAAATTAATATTTGAAGCCGTAAAAGTTAGCGACGAGATTCTGGAAGCTGCCACATACACAAAGCAAATCTTTGAATCGTGAGTGGGTTGTATGTGACCATCAAAAACCCTAGCGCACTCCTCTGTTTGGCTACGGAGCTTCCTTGAAGTCTATATTAACATTATTCATCCGTACCATTTTGATTTTTATGAGTTGTTCAAGTTATTAAGATTTAAACATTTTGCATTTTCATTGCAATATAGAAAAAAATCTAAGATAATACGGGTACGTTATATAGTGGTAAGAGAGTTTCGGTCATGAAGTGCTCGGGCTATGACAGTTATTTTCAAGTTCAAATCTTCAATTTTCTTTGATAAACATGTAATTAATTAAATGTTTTGCACAATTTAAGTTAAACTTATAACGTATATATATAGTGACATTATGCCCATCCGAGGGTATTCTGTGAATAGGAAAATGTCAAAATAAGTTCACATGTTGCTATTATTCCCTTCATTTTTATAAATTATTTTGCATGAACGATCAATAATTCATGTCGCCAAAGGGAATTTCTTTAAATATCCATCGAAATTTACCTGTAACATTCAATTTTTAAAAGAGTAGGCAGCCTCATATATTTCAGGCAGATATTTAAAATGCTTAGCATTAAAATATTCTGCTGTTGGTCAATCGCCATCATTACAGTCTTTTGAAATATACGATCGGTTCCGAATAGTTTTATAAATTTTATTCTATTTGAAACTCTTAATTCGGCCCGCCACATTTTTAACAATTTCCGTTTTCTTCAATATGCAGTCATTTATCACCATATTTATCAAATGTATTGATATATGTGCTCCAGGATCCGAACACTACCACCACGTTCTTAAGCAGAAAGAATAAAAATGAGTAATTGTTTAGGTGATAAAATATTTATAGGCGTTAAAAGTCATTTTATATCAGAATTATTTGTCAATATTGATGTAAACAGATAGCAATAGATTATTCGAGCTGTTAGACATGGAGTGGATACGAGTGAGAACGAAAACTATGACAGTATTTTAATTTATAAGATACATAAATAATATGTACAGTCATTTGTGGTTAAGGAAGATATGTTGCCTCAATTATAGATATACAATATCAATGATATTAACCCGTTATCAGCACAAGGTATTTAATACAGCTATCCAACTTTAAATTTGAACAGTTTTTTTACAATTACGGGTTTTGAAATTATTAAAAAAATATAAGCTACCAACAGTATAGATCTTAATTCGGCTAAACGGATGTGCCGACTGTCCTAGCTGTGTACAGGTTACACATGCTTATCACTTTCGCAAACCACAAATGTAACAAATATGTATCAGAGTTCCAATATATCCACCTCTTTGCACAGGTTCGTTAATTTAATCATTCTATGATTAGAGTATAGAAAACATAAATAAATGTTTACAAAAATAAATAGGAGTAAAGAAAAGTACAATATTACAGCAATTGAACAATGTGAGTTTGAAACTAGCTTGACAATATGTTAGAATTTTAGAATAAATTATGTTCAAGAAAGTACAGAGTCGAATTGCTATGAACATAAGTGCTTGTGTACCATTAAGATAAAGAAGTTTTAAACCAAAGCGCTGTAAGCACTAGCGTATTCTCTGCCTCGCCCCTGGAGTCTTTTCCTGGCCATGTAAAAATGTATTAAAGTCTAATAAAGGACAAGCATAGCATAGACAATTGTTTCTAAAATCTACATAGTGGCAAACAACCTGTAATGAAGTTTATTGATAATTAAATTTCGAAAAACGTGAAATTGCAGGACAAATTGTTAAAAAGGGAATGTAGTTTATCTTTCGAATATAATAAGCGTCCTTTAATCATTTTAATGACATAATAACATGCATTCATTTCAATAACTTCGGCGCAGGGGTACAATAACACTTTGACGTGACGTCATTTGCGATATATATAAACATAGCGTTATATTTAAAGCGCGCTTATGTAAGCGTTACACTATAGGCGCGTCAATGAAAAATGACTTGTTTTAACTGTAAACCGTTTCTCTTTTTGAATATGTGATAGATAGAATATTATATATTCGTGTAGATTCAATACTAAATTTATTGAACACGTTGAATAAAACAATTTATGACACTTCTTCTGTGATGGTGTAACACGTACATTGTATTATGATATATACGCAGTATTGAGACACGTACATGATTCTGTAACATTAACATGAACTATTAAACGTACATGATATTGTAACACGTACATAATATTGTAACACGTACATAGTACTATAAAATGTACATGGTGCCAATTATTTCATGTTTTTGCCTGGGCTATGTCCACGTGCTTATATATGACATAAAATAGCTTTCATATTAAATGGCTACCATTTATATAAATTGACATGTTATTCATTTTTTTAATGACCTGGAAGTGTACTTTCAAATGATTCATCATTTTTCATTGTGAGCTTTGTTGTTATATGAATTATGGCCTACTTTCACTTGGACAGACTTGGTGAAAACAAACATGGCTGACAAAGCGGAATCACCTTAACTTCCGCGTCCAAAGTTTATCTATTGTTTGTAGAAACGAAATGTAGACATTGGACAGTCGGAACAATATATTATGGCTGACGTGAACATTTTATTTAGTTACATCATCTTAAAACCCTGACTTGTTTCATCGAAATATCTTAGTTTGAGAAGTTGTTGAATATTGATCTGGAGATGTAAATATATGTACATGTATGTATGTATGTATGTATGTATGTATGTATGTATGTATGTATGTAATATCTAAAAGCGTCCATATAATCGTTTCACAAAATGGCGGATAGTGGAAGTAGAATAGGAGAGGATGATGAAGTTCCTGGTCGTGTGAAGGAAAACTTGTGTCAACCATGTTTAAGTAAGGATAAGAAAACTGTTGCTGACAAGTTTTGTTCAACTTGTAATGAATTCCAATGTAATGATTGTTCAAATGTACACAACGTGCTCGCCATCTTAAAAAATCATAAATTGATGGGCGTGAAAGAAGCTGATGTTGCAAGTTTCTCGATTAAAATGAAGGCCTTAGATCTATGTGATCAACATCAACGTTCTTTAGAATTTTTCTGTGAAGATGAAAAGAAACTTTGCTGCAGTACTTGTGCTATTATTAATCATCGAAAATGTCACAGTGTTGTAGAAATTGAGAAGATTGCCGGAAAAATAAACAAACGAATTTCTACCTTAGGGGAGAAATTAAAGGAAGCTAAAGAAGCTGCTGAGAGCGTTGCGAGATATATTCGCTCTTCAAAACATCAACTTGCTGGAGATATAAGAGAAATACATGTAGAGGTTAGACGATTGCGAGACAAAGTTATGAGAATGTTTGACGATTTAGAAGAGTCCGTCGTCAATAGTGCTGAAACTATTGAGAGAGAAACATTAGAAAATTTAACAAGGAAACAAACACAAATCGAGAAACATTTGGCTGATGTTACATCGTGCTTAGAGACGATTGAAAGTATTTTCAAAAATGGAACTTCCGTGCAGAAATATATAGCAGGACAGAAAATGGAGAGTAACGTCAATGCTCTCAGCAGAAACATCAAGGAGGAATGTCAGAATTTAGAGACAATGAACATTTCTTTTCATTTCGACGAAACATTAAAGATGCCACCATTACCAATCACTGAATATGTTCCAGGACAATTACTATTTAGGTCTGCTCGACAGGGAGATGTTAATTCTGTTGAAATGACGATGAAGTTAACACCAGTTTCTGCCACTGTTTTGAAGAAGACGGGAGATGATATCAAAATACCGTTATATACAGGTATAGATTTTCTAGCTGATGGTAGACTGGTGGCTGTGGATAACAGTAACAAGAAATGTTTAGTGTACAATGAAAAGCTTGAGAATGTAGGATCATATAAGCTGTCTTTCATACCATTATCTGTTGTTGTAGTATCTGAGGAGGAAGTAGCGATAACACGTTGTGGTGAAAAAAAAATAGAATTTTTACATGTTAGTAAATGTAATGAAATAAGTTCAAGTAGGACATGTAAAGTGAAAAAGAAATATGACTCTATATGTTTGAAAAATGATAGACAGTTTGTAGTTGGGACTTATGATGAACCAAGACCTGTTCGTATTTTATCATTGACAGGAGAGGAGCAAGATTTGAGAATTAACTTTCCAAACAAGACATATCCTATAGGCACTAGCGCTAGTACTTACATAAGAAATAGCGACTATAGCGAAATATTGGTGATTACAGATAGATACGAGCATACTGTCTACATATATGATTTCATCGTGAGAAACGTAAAGAATGACCAGATAAAGGGACCATGTGGTGCAGCAGGTGGTCCTTCTGATACTATCCTGGTGTGTTGTCGTGAAACAGACACCATAGTACAGATATCACAAACAGGTCAGATACTATCATCGCACAAGATAGATATGAAAAATCCATTTAGGGTATGTGTCTCGCGTGATAAATCATTTCTTGTTGTAACAAATATCTGTGTTGGAAATAGGAAAATGCAGAAATTCAAAATATTAACATAGTTAACAGCTCTGTTCTCTGTTTCAAAGATCCACGCCCACTCACACACAAAGTTATTAAAGAATGAAACAAGAATTTATGATGACATATGATGGATGGATCATTGAATTATACTTATGGTCTATTACCAATGTAGCTGCTCATACCGAAAAAGATATAATAACAATTATATAGAATACAAGAATATTCTGGGAAAATCAGTGCTCATCAAAATGAAGTCAATGTATGCTATGACAGACAGATTAAGGAGTAAACAATTCAATATTAATAATTTCAATAAATATTCAATTGATATACTTCTTTTATTTTAAGCAGACGAGCAATAAACTTGAAATTCATCAATTATTCGACAGACTTAACTTTTCGTGTACAGACTCAAACCGAGTCTGCTATTTTTGTGTAATACTATTGTGATTAGTGTTACCTTACCAAAGGATCACTTTTTCTCTAAATTTTTTATTTAGCACTGCTTATATGTAAAGTAGTTGCGTTCTGTACCATCGTTATCTTATTTTTGTAATCATCACATAATGTTGACTGTATAATGGTACATTTGATTGTAAATATGAATTTGCTGAATTTTTTTTGTTAAATAATTTGTGATATAATGTCATTACGTTCTTTTTATACCTTTAACCCTCAGATTCTGCCTGACCTGAAAGTAATTATGCTTTCCCACCAGTATACAGCCAGCATGTACATTTTTTCTATTTTAATATTGAAATCTAGTATACTTCAAATGGACTGTACCAACCTCGAAAAAGACTAATCCATTTCCCAAACTTAAGCAGTTTAATGGTTTATAAGTTAACGTTTACATCAGTTTTCTGGCTTCAGTTGACTTTCTATTATAATATAATAGATATGTATAGAATTATTGAAATGTTAGAAACTATTTTACTGTGTCTTATTAATAAATATAACTATCCGAAGTAATTGTGTTTTATATTTTAATGGCATTGCTTTACTTAAATATCATACATATTTCTCTCGTGAGTATGAGGGTAGTTTTTCTATCATCTTTTGGAGGCGTGCTGCTATAAAAATACAAAAATACCAAAACATAAAATAATAACATAAATAAATGTTTCAAATGTTTATTCAGTAAGCTTTCGACATATCCAGACGTCTTTAAAGTGACTAAACATGTACGCAGACAAATTTAAAAAGAAAAAAAGTGTTTTATCTTCGGAATAAAACAAGCGCCCGTTAATTCCTTCAATCACATATAACATAAATATGTGTACGGTATGGACACTTCGGTATTCTCTGTAGTCAAAATAGATAAAGATTCGCCAAACTCACCTCGCATTTGGTATTCACAACCTCTAGGGTCTTTCCATCAAATTGTATCTAAATTTCGAACTTTTTCTATTTAACTGGACAAACACGGTATGTATACAATACGCGAATGTGCCAAGTTTATGATGTTGTAACACGTTCATGGATTTATGACACATAAGCAGCATTAGTACACGTACATGACTCTGTAACATGTACATGATATTCTGACACTTATATGATATAGTAACACGTACATTGTACTGTTACACGTTCATGGTATTATGACACATACGTAGCATTAAGGCATGTACATGACAATGTAACATTTACATGATATTGTAACACGTACATGATATTGTAGTACGTACATGATATAGTAACACGTACATTGCACTGTTACACGTCCATGGTATTATGACACAAACGTAGCATTAAGGCATGTACATGACAATGTAACATTTACATGATATTGTAACACATACATTATATATATTGTAACACGTACATAATATTGTAACACGTACATGATATTGTAACACGTACATGATTTTGTAACACGTACATGATTTTGTAACACGTACAGTGTACTATGAAACGTACATGGTACCGAGGGAGGTACAAGATACTTGAATCGATAACCTGCAAATAAAGGGTTAATTGATTATGTTACTCGGATTTAGGTAATTGAGAGTAGATATCAAACCTTCATTCAAAAACATGAAACTATGACACGCACGATGATATTAAGGAAGGTACAAAATACTTGAATAAATAACATGCAGAAAATGAACGGTGAATCGTTATAAATAAGAGTTATTATATTTTGACCAAAAGTCTTATACACAGAACGTCTGGAGAGATTAAATATCGGGACACGACTGACTCTTACTGAAACATATGTAAATGCCAGTAAGCTTGCTTTAATTTTAATGTGTTAAATGTCTAGAAAAAAATGTAAATTCCGAGATATCCGTTAAACAGTTCCAGCACAATTTTTTAACATTTAAAAGACAATGATCGCCGCCTATATCTCTCACGGAAATACCTATATGGTCCAAAGTGGGCCTATTTCACTGACCCTTTTTTTTTCTAAATAAGTGGTATTTGCCAGAAACTTTAGATTCAAAAATAATAGTTTCCATTTCTATAATCTTAGCAATAAAACTACTGAACTGAAGATTGAGCCGTTTATATTAAAATACCAAAGTCTTCACATTAATTTAGTGTAAAAACAATAAGACGAATGTGAAAATAAGTAGAAAGTACATTTCTGCGGGGTTCCGATAGGACAAACGCGTTTTCTCTGAGAACGAAAAGAGCGAATCACGAAAATGCGATGGTGATAGAACGATGGCAAATCCATCATATTGTTATCATCTTTTTTGTCGTATTTTCACCATCTTACTGTCGCATCATCACCATCGTACTGTCGTTATATCACCATCGTATTCTTGCCTTCCTCATATACAAAGCGCGACAGTACGATTGTAAAGCACAACAGTACGATGGTGACAATAAGACAGTACGATGATGATATAACGACAGTACGATAGTTAAGCACAACAATACGATGGTGACAATACGACAGTACGATGATGATATAACGACAGCACGACAGATTTGCACACCAATACGATGGTAACAACACGATGGTGACATTACGACAGTACGATTGTGACAATACTACAGTACGATGGACTGTCACTATTGTACTGTCGTGTTTCGGCATCGTACTGCCATATTGTCACCATCGTACTGTTGCACTTTGTCATCGTACAGTTGCGCTGTTACCATTGAACTGTCGTAATTGGCGCAAAAACGCGCTTGTCCGAACTGAACACTGTACGTTTCAATGTGAAGCAAAAATACATAATGTCTTGATTTTTTCTAGTATAATGTAGGTGATCATGGCCAAATGGTCAATGTCGTTAAAGTCAAATCGCATTCCTCTCAACGCTGTAAGTTTAAGCTAGCGTCCTTGGATTATTTTATATGAGAGATGTATTCATCTACTTTACGGATTGTCGTTGGTTCTTCTCAGGTGCCCGTTAGTGTTGGAAATTATGGTTATTGGTTCCAGGAACAGACCTTATGCCTCCCCCCACCAGTTAAAGCTTGAAAGTACTTATACAACCTATACTGTATTGATGATGTAGAACAAACAAAATAATGAGTATAATGGAGATGCACTATTATGATGTACATATTATTCACCAGTTAATTGTCACTCTGTCCTCAACCCGCGGGAAATAGACAGGGACTTTCGCGTTTAGACGCCGGTTCGGTGGTACGGGTTCGACACATCCCTTGCTAGTTTGGCATATAAACATGGAAAACAATGCATCAATCACATGATCATATATGTACTAAACACCTGAACATATTGATAAGTACTAAAGGAATAAACATATTTTAATGGCATGGACATATCAGTATTTAACGCATGCGCATATCGGTATCAAACACATGTGTCTATCAGAATTGAACACATGTAGATAAAAGAATTGGACGCATGTACATGAACATGTATTAGAATTAAACACTTACGATCAAGAATTCATGAAGTTGAAATTAAGATAACATAAAGTTTAATTTGTGAGGTTTAAATTCAAAGTTAAGAAAAATATGTACATTTTCGCGACATGACGTTGGAATTAGTGATTTTCATAAGGATTGCTGTTGTTCCTGTGAGAAGCTTTACAGTCCTTTCTTAGTATAAGTTGGTTCCAGGAACAGATTCGAGAATGTCTTATATTAATAAGCTTATAGCTTCAAATACAATCTAACTAAAATAAATTCGTATAGACCTTTTTACAATACGATTTTCCATAGCAACGAATGTTGCATTTCGCGCATGCGTATTCTGCGTAGGGCAAAACGCAATAACGATGTCTACAGTTTATCATACTTTAAGGCTTTAATAGATGCGATTTCATGTTATCAAAAAATATTAATTTTGGGATGACTTAAGGCGGTAAGTACTGAAAACGTGAATTTATTTTTAACAGATCTACGAAAATGTGCGGGAGTAATAATTCAATGGTCAAAACAGGCACACACATGTCTTTGTTTAAGGTATCATTAGACGATTTTTCCATCAGTAATTTAAATTGAAACAGCAGGGTGTTAAAGATATGTTAAAGGATGACTTAAGGTGACAACAGACACTTTCCGTGGTACTAACATAAATGTCATTTACACCAACTTATTTTAGTAATAACTGTTATTTATTTAATCTTTGTGCATTAATTGTCGCTGATCATCATAAAAAAATAACATATTTGAAAAAAATGCCTTTGTAAATGATTGATTTTTAATAAAAATCCTAAAATTTTAAAACGTCATATCAAAGTCATTTTTTATTTTTTTGTTATCAAACTTTTGGAAAATAAACATACTTATAATATCTGGGGAACCGTGTCTCAAATTTTTTCTATCTTTTCTCAAAAAAATATTACGTAACGTCAAACAATTTATGCGACTTTTTTCACCATACATATTACGTAATTAAAGATAATTAAGTCGCTGATTGAGCAAACAAAAATCCCTGACACGGTTCCCTCCGTAAATGAATTCCCTTTCATGTGCTTTAAACCGCATGTTAATTGCTTGATTATTAAAAAAGTTATGCCGATTCAAAGTTAGTCCGACCCGCATCAAACGAAGTGTCATAAATCGGCTGTTCTCTCTCGGACCCCTACGTTTCACGCTAAATAATTGCATAATACACAAATATCGCACCAGAGAGGGTCACAGGTTGCGGTAACATACTCTAACAACATTTTATGACCCAGTGACATCTGACCAATTAAAAAGTTGCTGATTAATATCAGTTTATAACAGAAATTTCTTCAAATCTTAACGTGATTTACTGTCCGTCTGGTATCGGTCGCACATGTCACGTGACTTTCGGTAAAATTTGAGGCACTCGGTGGGGGGAAATGGAACGTATTTGCGCACCGCTAGCGGGGTATTTAATTGTTTCACTTTTGAAGTTTCATCAGCATTATTATTATATTATACCAGTGTCACTCTGTCTGTGTATTCGTGTATGAAATTCTGTCAAAATATAAATTAAAATAACAAAAAACTGAGCTTCTGACGGTATTTTAAAGGCCACGGTAGATGTACAAATAAGAACGGGATATTATATATTTTTTCCTCCAAATTGATACAAATGCTTCACATATTTTAACAGAAATGAAAGGTATCACTCGATCATTATGATCTGATCTTCTTGACTTCTATTATCATGAAAAGCATCTATGCACGGTATAGATATCCAGTTTCTACTGAGATATACAATAAATTCCATACTTTGTCCCAGATTTATTAGAACTGTGTTCGGTTTACTGGCGAACAATTTATTCAAAGCATTCATTGATAATATATATTAATATCTTTTTTTATTGATTCATATAGAAATAGTCATCCTTAAACAATCTAAAATGGTTTAGAAATTTGTCAGGGACACCGTACCACAACAGAGGTTGAGCTGATATTAGCAAATTGTTTTAGATTGAAGGATACTAACATTGGTATATCCAGAGACTTTCCCAAAGAGATATCTGATGCAAGGAAAAAACTGTGGCAACAATTTAAAACCGAACGCTCAAAAC